AGGTATTAAAATATGTATTGGCATATATGGGGACTTTGACTATGATAATATACAGTATGTCTTAAAACAAGTATAGAGAAAGAAGCGGTAATGTGGATTATGAAAAACACCATCGAACTGCTACAGTACTTACTGAAGAAAATGAAATTTTGGCCAATCACTAGTATTATTGAAAATCCATATACAAGTAAGAGGAAACTAAGTAACCATTTAAATATTTTGAGGACTACCATAAGGCGCATTATTAAAAAAAATAAGTTTCATCCATATCACATTCAGCTATATCAAAAATTATTACCTCAAGATTTCGGACAGAGAGTGGCAAATTGTAGTTGGCTAATTAATAAGATAAATTCAGAACGCAATTTTCTTAACAAAATTTCTATTGTGATAAAATAAAGCTAAAAATAGTTCTGTATATATAGACACAATTTTCATTATTACCCAGACACAAACAAGCATCTTTTTAGAACAACGTCTTAAGTCCGGTGGTCACTGAATGTTTGGGCGGGCATAATAGATAACTATGTATAGGTACTTTTTTTTTTTAATGGAACTGTAAATGACGCAATATTTCTATCATTTTTAAAAAATTATTTTACAGGACAGCGTGTGCCAATATATTGTGGTTTCAATTAGATGGTGCTACACCACCTTACCAGTTAAACGTCCGTAATTGGCTCAATTTGGAAATCATTAGATAGGGCGAGCAGGTCCCATATCTTGACCTGGTAGGTTCCCTGATCTCACTCCCTTGGATTTCTTTTTGTGGAGTCATATTAAGGAGAAGTTTTACAGTGAACAGGACACCACAAAAAAAATATGAAAGAACGCATTCAAGAGGCCTTCACAACAATCACTCCTGAAATGCTTACAAACGTCCGTAGTTCATTAAAAAAAAAGGCTAAGGAAATGCATTGAGCAAAATGGAAGACATTTTGAGCATTTAATGTAGTTTAAAAATAAGTAAATACAATTTTTTCGGTAAATTTGTAAATTAGTTTTTATTCCCGCTTAATGAACTTTTCTTTTAAAAATTTCAAAATGATTTAATTTAAACCTATAAGATGTTGCATCCGTGGAAAGCTTGTGTAATAGGCTTTCAAAATATTGAATAATATACAGACCGTTTCATTTAAAAAAACGAAGTTTTTTATAGTTTAATTTTCGAAAATATAATATCTTATAATATGTACATATTGAAATAATTATGAAATATGGACGAGATAAGAAGTTCGGGTCTCAACTAACTTTAGCCAAAACTTATTTTTCGAATTTGTAGAATAAAAGAGTTTTTGAATATTTTTAAAATGTACCGATTTTTCAGTAAATTTAAGAAAAATTTGAATAACATGGCAATACAGCATCATGTTTACAAAAACAATGCATTTTTGTAAAGGTCATTGAAGTAGAAATCTAAAAATTTAAAAATATACAGGGCGTTTTTAATAAAAATTTTATCAAAATGTTTTGCTACTTGAACTTTGAGTACTCTGTATAAATGAAACTATTTTCTAGTTATGGGGATTTTTGAACAAAACAAATCGGTTTTTGTTTTATTTTGATATCTCAATTAGTTTCGGCGCTATACTCTGCGGGGAGATAATTGGTCCACCCTGTATATGTATTAGCATATTAGAACATTGAATTTGATATTATACAGAATGTCATCAATCAAGCAGATAAAGCAACATTGTGTAGGTTCGGTGAAGAAGAAGATAAAAATAATCCACTTCACGTGTCAGTGTGAAGGCTAGATTGACGTTTCTAAAGCTTATAAGTTTTATTAATAAAGACTAAGCTAAGAAGACATACTCTGTAACGAAGTCCCACAATAGGTCTAAAAAGGTTGCGGTGGACAAGAACAAAATTCAGATTTGGTTTTTTTGCCCCAAAAACCCAGCATTTTAAATACATTGGACCCCTTTAGCAAAACAATGAAAATATTTTTTAAATACTATTTAAAATATAAAAAATACAAGTGCAAATCTATTTTTAGAAACAATTGCAAAAAGAGTTTCTTAGGTTACTATTTAAATCTGACATTATTTTTTGCGTACTTTTTCCCACAGTTGTTCCAAGTTTATGTTGCCGTACATGTATATCCATATTTAAATACCTGTATAATTTTTGGATTTTTTAACCAGTATTAAAATACTTTGGACGACTCTAGCAAACTATAAATAATGAAGAAATTTTATTTTAAATGGTATTTAAAATAAAAATGTAAAACAGGATTTCTACAAAATATTTCAGAAAAGAATTTTGTTTGTCAGTGAATTCAAATATGACATTAGTCATCGACTAATTTCTCCATTTTTAGTTTTAAGACACACTGTATATGATAAAAGTCAATGTTCCCATATATGCCAATCCATATTAACATACCTATATATAAGTTATTTTGGCATATTTTGAACTAAAAGTTGGATATATACGTTTGTATATCAAATGTATACAAATGTATACGTTTGTATATAGGGGTTGCAAAATGTCCTCAAAACTGCCCTTTGACATACATATATATATATATATATATATATATATATATATATATATATATATATATATATATATAGAGATAAAATATTAAAATTAAGATTTGTTTCAATATGATTAAAATTGATTTTTAGTTTGAAAGAAAATCTACAGGTCATAATTAGGTAGCACTTTCATAATAATACTAAAAAAAAGCAACGAGTTGAGATAATTACCACGTGTCGTTTACTTTGATATATTTTTTTTTCATATTTAAGTTGAAATTATTTTTTTTTAATAATTTAATAATCTTAGTACTTAAATTAAATAGGTATAATTATAAAGTATCAAATTCCAAAAATGCAAACTAAATTACCCATAATTAAATTCTAGATAATAAGTAGGTACCTATTAACAACATTTATATCTCAACTCATAGCATAATTTCGTCTACTTATGTTTTTAACTATCAATACACGTGAGCATGGGCGTCGTTATAGGAAGAAGCAAAATTTTGAAAAAATTTAGAATGTTTATATGTTAGAAAATAAAGAAATTGAAAAATAAAGGATCAATACAAAATAACAAAATTCTCTCTAATAAAGAAAAAATCCAACAAAAGAGACTAAAATAAACTAAAATAAAAATAACACGAAACTTAAAACTCATACTTTTAAAAAACAAATATTAGGTGTGATATAAAAGAAGGAACAAGAAGACAGCTATACATAATAATAAAAAAATGAAATATTTATAGAAACACGAAAACATAAAAAACTCACTCAAACACGTCGACGAACACAAATACAAAAATATTGATAACAGAATACATAATTTTTGTTTTGTTTTCTGTACACTCATCATGGATAGCCCAGTCTCCTATTTTCATTTATTGTAGACCGCAGTCATGTTCACAAAGAGCTCATCGTGTGCAGGAAGTTCTTTCGTAGTCAGTTAGTTATCCACGTTCGGTATTCAACTTCAAAAAGTATTATTTTTCGTTTTTGGGATGTTACAATTAAAAATCTTCTATGGTACTTCTCTGGTCCTCAAGACGTTAATACTTCATCAAATTAGCAAATCCTTCTTCATTTAACAATGTAATAATGTTAATCTTTCTTCAAATAAAACGACAATCATACAGATCCTTCTTCATTTAACCATAAAAATACCATTCTGATTTTGCATCGCATTCAGATATTACATCGCTAAAATAGTTTGACATTTTAATGGATAATCAGATAGGTAGGAAGGACGAGATGAACATTTTGAATAATAAAATGAAATATTTTAGAAAAATCAATATTCAAAATATTTGACTAACAAAAAAAATATGACCTCAAAAATTAAATTTCTAAATAACATTAACCTTAGATAATCACTGTATGAAACCAAAAACTACTGTATTTGTTACTCACTATAATAATTTGATGGTCATTTAAAAAGGAAAATAATCTCTTTATCAGAAGATCGCCTCGATAAATATAAATTGGACTCGTGCAAAAATTGGAAAACATTTATTAATGGGATTACTTGTCAATAATTTTTAAACATACATTCACTTTTCTGTGATAATTGCTTCAGCAACAATATAAAAAAATTGGTTTGTATTTATCACATTAACTACTGTAATTTGTTATTAAATTTTTATCAATGTGAAAACTATGGAAATTATAAAAATTTTTCTGTAAACAGTAATGAAATAGAAAAGCTAATAGCGTCTTGTATGTAGTTTTATTTTTCATTTGTCATTGTTAGGTTTCAGATATAGGTCGAGTAAATAGAAGAACTTGATTAAATGACTCATAAGAATGTTATGCTTGTAAGTTTTTAATAAAATAATGATTGTATTGATTATATATAGACATTGATACAATAAGGAAATAGAAAATGATATTTTGTCAATAAAAAAAATGTACAATTTACAATCTTTTGCGATAATATTGGAGCGTTGCAATTTTGCATTTACTTATAAAAAGGTATTTAAAATTTACAATACTTTTCATTTTTTTTTGCGACTGCAGAAAGTTCAAATTATTAATTTTTGTCCAGATTGCTGAGAAAACTAACATTAAATATTCAAGTTGATATCATTTTTTGTTTTTTAGTTAATATTTTTTTATTATTTCAACCTCCCTTAAACTCCCCATTTTTATTCAGAGTTTTTTCAAAATCGATAGGCTTCATCCCGTTCTAGAGCTTGATTTTTCTTGAAAATTGATATCGTGTTTGACTTATCGTGTCGTGTGGACATTAGTATACTAATATAAGTTTTCATTATGACGTTTCATATTTCAACCACTTTCAACTTTATTTTTTTCAAAGACGGACCTAGATTTTTTAAAGAAATTTTTGTATAGCTAAACTTAACAATATGTTTCACTTCACTATTTTACTACTTTTAGTCTATAAAAATACTTTATATCTCGACGGTAATAAAATAGTTTCTACCTTGTTCTGTAATACACTCTTTCAACCGTTGATACATACCAGGAAAAACTAAATTATATGCTTATTTTCAGATGCTGTTGCTGCATTCCTTGCCGAAAGAATTCAGGCACTTCTCCAGAAATAGTTGACGATAATTGTTGCCAATGTAATTACGCAGCTTTAGAAAAACTGACTGAATACGGAGATATAGAGATTATATATGCTACTTACCACGTAGATATAGGCCAAACACCGTTCTTCGTAGCGCTAGATTATGATAGAAAAAACGTTGTGATAAGTATTAGAGGAACTCTATCCATGAAGGTAATTAACTCTTTTTTTTCCCATTATTTAAATATCAAAAACAATCAATTACATTACTCTGACTAATTAATCAACAAAGATAATTATTTATTTCGAATTAATAAGCACAAGTCGATTTATAGTTATTTTTTGTCGAATTATTAGGCTATGTTTAGTTTTAAAATTACATTGTATGTATATTTTCTACTGTTTTTCCACACATGCAACTTTTATTCCTGTATATTGTGCTGTAAATAGCCATTTAGTGCATAACACTTCATGGTAATAATAGTAATAGGTATATGTATTGTCTAACAAAATTCAATTATGGAAAACATGGAAAACCTTCACTACAATATATCAATAGACATTAGGTTTAGTTTTGAGATTTAGAATTACTTGATGCGGATATTTTCCATTGTTTTCCCGTACACGCAGTTTCTTTTATCTTTAGATTTTATTATTTCTAAGTATTTATTATAAGATATTATTTATTAGCAAAGAAAATCTAATAAGAAACAATTTTTAGAATATAAACATTGAAAAATAATATTTAGAAGAGCAAAATTCAAAATAATTTTGAGATATGTGTTGTATTTATTAAAATGTTTGCAAATGCATACAAAACGGTACACATTTTTCATAAAAACTTTTTTAAGTAAATCATTTTGTCATCAAATATATTTATAATAAATTTAAATTTAAAAAAGTGTTTTAACAGAAAATCTCATGTTTGATGGTATAGTAGTTGAATATAAATAATTGTAAAGATTGTACTCTATTATAATGATTTTAAAATTTTGTGTAAAAAACTATATTTCTGTAAAATTAGAGTACTTATTTAATTTTAATAGCCAAAGTAGCTTTAAAATTTTGATCCTTTATATTACTAAAATAAATTTAAGTAAAAGTAAACGAAATTTTAAACACATGGACCAATATTTTTCATCGTTTTACCGAAAATGCCGTTTTTTTTTAATTTTATTACCATGCTTAAAATAATTGCATATAGTAAAAACTTATTAGGTATGTGTTATAACTGGTTTTAGTTTAAAAAAACAATAATTAAGGTTTTGTTTAACAAATTTATGTGAACATACTAATTACTATTCTTATAATTTTAACTAAATTGTCTGTGTGCTTTCTATTTATTAATATCTTAATTAATAAATGATGGACGATTATCGGTTATTAATCAAGTAGCAGCATAAGGATTTTAAACATTCTAACATATTCATAAAGGATAAAATTCTGTTATTGTTATTACATTTATTTTTTTGAGAAAAATAGCATTTTTAATGAACGTTACATTTTTTTGTTTATATTTCTTATTAGTATAATATTTTTGTTTTAAAATTAATTATGCACTGCTGTTGGAAGGTGTATTCTCAATTAATCTAATTTCCAGACAAAATGAAACTGGAATGAAATTTTTTTTTGTACCCTTCAGGATATTCTAACGGATTTAAACGCAGAAGCTGAAACTCTGCCATTGGAACCACCCAAGGATGATTGGTTGGGCCATAAAGGCATGGTTCTAGCTGCTCAATATATCCTGGAAAAATTAGACGAAGAACAGCTAATAGAAAAAGCATGGGCACATAAACCTGACAGGGGCACTGCTGCATTTGATATAGTCATCGTGGGACATTCATTAGGCAAGTATACTCGAAAAATTATTAGAATGGGTCTTGTAAAACTAGAACTAGATTTTTAAAAATCGTAGCTTTCATCTAGAAACTAATCTTAACAATACTTTATTAGGTGCTGGAACGGCCAGTATTTTAGGTATACTTTTAAGACAGAGACATCCTACGCTTCAATGTTACTGTTACGCACCACCTGGTGGTCTACTTTCAGCGCCTGCAGTTGATTATACGAAACAGTTTACAGTTTCTGTCGTTGTTGGAAAAGATGTCGTGCCTAGGATAGGACTCTATCAAATGGAAACGTTAAGAACAGACCTTATTAATGCAATTAAAAGGAGCGTAGATCCGAAAGTAAGTATGGGTTTCTCGATGAAATACTTTTTTTTTCATGTGATAATTTTTTAGTGGAAAACAATATCGTGTAGCGTTCTTTGTTGTGGATGTTCCCAACCAACGTCAGCCGTTGAATTATCTACAGGAGAGAAGGATGTATGCGAATATATGAGAAGCAAAGAAAATGCTCGATGTCTAGGTTTGCATCCTTCTGATAGTACAATCGCTCTTACTAGTCATCAACCATTATTTCCGCCTGGAAGAGTAATTCATATTGTCAGGCACCACCCATCAGCTGGACAGTGAGTTGCAATTTTTAAATTTTTAATATGTTTGAGATTTTGAAAGTAACTAAGGTAGTTTTGATTACATAACTTGTTGATTTTGTAATGGGTAACTAAATGAACTATTTAGAACTATCTAGGTTAGGGACAAAAAATATTTTTCTACGTTTGTGTTGGATATATACATATTATATTCCTATACACGACTTTTAAATTATTATCATTATTATCTTCATCTCGGCCCTTTTCCTTATGAATTTTCTCAAAGCTGTCAATGTTAATTTAATTTTTCTTTATGTACGCCGTAACTGTTAGTTATTATGGTTGTGATCTCGTTGGTTTTGTCGCCATTTTTATGTTGTTTATGCTCATTTTTAAACTATTTTTTAGAAATGTTCCACAATTGAATTATCATATTTTCAATCCGCAAGATGAGTCATCATTTAAAAAGTGTTCGAGTATAGGTGTAACTTCAATCAAAAAGTGAATTAATATACTTTATTTCAGTCATTTGTTCCTTCTTGAAAGCGAACCCTAGCCTCATGAAACTAAACCATAACTGAAGACTTGAAGTAAATAAAGGGCTAAGTGCCAAAAAATATATATTTTGAGTTATTTGATAAAAACTTTGTAAAACCTAAAATATTTTATTTAAAATTTTTTCTATTTTTTTATAAGCGCATATTCATATTATAAAAAATATTTTATATTTATGTAGGTCATTTTATTTAGGAGTATAATAAAAAAAAACTAATATTCCTAGAAGGCTCTAAGTACCATTATAATTTTCGCTTATGGTTGGCTAAGTGCCATAATATTAGTTTTAAATTGAGCTAAGCCATTATTTTAAAAGGCTGGAAATAAAAATAAAATTGTTTTTTTACAAATTTTTATTTATAAACATACAAAGATATAAAAATATATTTAGCTTAATCTACTTATTTTTTAAAAACGAATAATGTGTTCAAAAAATCCCAGATTCGCTTCTTTCACATAAGAAATATTTTTTGAAATTTTTCTTTTTTTTTTCAATGCAGATTTTACTTTAACATTGTAGTAGTGGTAAAGTCATATTTTGAATAGTTTCTGGTGAAATATTTTTTTTGAAAATTTCCAAGCCTCCAAATTGCTTAACGTTTCACGGATCTAAATGTTCCCAGTGAATTTTTTTTAACAGTCCATTAAGCTTTTGAAATTTTTAAATTTGTAGTAGTCAGACATGATTTTGCCTCTTTTTTAAAGTCAAAAAAATCATCAGACTGCACAAGAGCGACCATAAAAGGATTTTTGGGGGTAGCACTGACCATCAGTCTTACCAAATCCATTTGAACTTCACATTTCTCCAAGCGTTTTCTTTTCTCAATTTGGGCAAACTCCTCCCTATCACAACTCAGGAATAAATGGCCTGAAACTAAGTATTTATGTTGGACTTCTTCAAAATATCCCTTTGTCACCATATAAATGCCCAGAAACAACATCATTTTGTTTTTGTTTTGTGCAATTATCACTCCATATCGTCAATTTTTTTTTTATCAAATATTTTACATCTTACAGCCTTGTAGAGACATGACGCTATTTCGTTACCTCTTCTCCCCGACATTCCTTTGTGCCATAAAAACATGTAGCCTTTACTGTTATCTCCAAATTCCCAACATCTCACCATGTATCAGGGTAGGAAGCGGAATAACTTGCTGCAGATCTATAGAAATCGTGGTATTTTCACTGGTAGGATGTTGTGACCTTTCGTGATCCATCTTCATTACTTCTCATGCCCGTTCAGCCTTGCCATGATAGATGTCCAGTTTATTTTTTGCTTATTTATTATTAGGATCACTTCTTATTTTATTATGCAGAAGATCACACGTACTACAGGTATCAGAACGTAGATGATGGAAGCTTAGGTTTGCAAAAGATCTTTTGAAAGTTTCGTAATAATACCGGTAAGTAATGTTCGAATTTGGATATTTCTCCTGAAATGCTCGAAACAATCGGTTTATATTTAAATCCTAACTTAAGTATTCTTTGTCGCTTTTAGATCTACTATAATTACTTTTTCTTTGGGAAAAGAATTAACATGTTCAAGGATTAAGCTTTCATCATCTTTCGAAAACTTTCTATTTTTTTTTTCTTATTGCCCCTTTTCTCAGTAAAAGTAAACTCTCCACATTTCTTTGCTTTTACAATAGTTTTAATTCTCCTCTTCGTTATTCCATAAACTTTAATAAAAGTTTTTTTACAAACTTGCAAAATATCACCTTTGCTATTAGGTAATGTAAAGCATATGGTTGCCTGTCGTCTACTATTCGCAGAATCTTCATAGTTCCCATGTCTTCTTCGCTTTATTCCAGTAACAGAAATTAGCCTCATTTGCACAAAACATAAAAGTAAACAAACATTTTACCTTTACAAAATTTAACAATAAAATTAAGTCAATTTACCTTGGCACTGGATTCTTCCTTAGCTTGTCACTTCAGTGTTTCTGGTATTACTGTATTTTTTACCGCCAGTTCTAATATTAATAATAATAATAATAACATTTATTCAGTAAAAGTTACAAAAAAGGCCACAATTGACTAAAATGTTAAATAGTCGATAAGCATTGCTTGTTTCGACATAAACTAAACAAACTACATATAACTAAATAAGTGTCATTACATAAATTACATGATAATTTCACATAATATACAACACATGAATACTAGATATATTTTTGCTATACACTGGAAACGAATATTTAAAACTAATGTTAAAGTGTCTGGCACTAAATATTTTCTATTAAATTAGTGATTACATGACGTTCTAGCGAGAGAATAAAATATTATAATATTATTTGCTTTATTCTCTCGCTCTAATTTTTCTAGTTTTCCTTTTAAGTATTGATTTTCTTCTTCCAATTCCTTTACTTTTTGATTTTTTTCTTCAATTTTTAATAGCAGCATTGTTTCAGAGGCATCTATGACATTCATTAAATCAGATTTACTACTCTTAATTTCCTCTAAAATTTTTTTTGAAAATTCTTCAAATAGACTTTTACTTTCGACTCATTCATAATTTATTTTTGAAGATTTTAAGATGTTTTATAAGTCTGGCAACAATGTTAAAAGATTTGGTACAAATCCTGGGTTCTTATCACGATAATCAAGTGATAAAGATAATGTTTATTGTTTTTTGATATCCTTTTGTTAATGGAAAAGGGTTATTATTTATTGAATTTGCATGCTAACACATAGTTACAGTATGCACTAAACTACCACTTAATGCACATTTCAAAATTTAATTGTTTGATAATATTTGAAATTTGATAAAATTAAATTAATTTATAATAGTCGATGTTCAGGACGATGTTGCCACTACTTTTCTGTCTTTCTTCCTGCACTCTATCTTCACCATTTTTTCGTCTACGAGTCGGTAAAACAGTAACTTCCATTGTTATCACAAAAATAAACTATAACAATAACTCTTTTCAATCTCAAACGTCAACGCCAACACAAGTCAACGCGTAATGAAGTAATGGCACTTAGCCCGTTATTTACTGATTAGAATCCGCAAGTTGACACATACGTCACCTTGCGGTGAAAAATTAAAGCATTTGCCGGTACATTTTTACATAACCCGTTATTTACGTTAAAGGCAATGGCACATAGTTCACTTTAAAGGAATAAAACCAATTTTAGAATTTTTGGCACTTAGCCCGTTATTTACTTCAAGTCTTCAACAGATTTTGGAAAAATCACTAGTCATTCCAAAAAATAAACGAAACAGCCTCTAAAACATTTTAAACATTAACTATATGTTTTATATTAACATTAAATTCAATTTATTACTTTTAAGGACTTCTTTTATTTAATTTTAAATTAGATACTTCAAAATTTCCTCTTGCGAACAACTTAAGTAGTCAGTAAATATGTTTTACAAATTATGACTAATTGTAAAACAGTAGATAAATAACCAATTTACCTAAAAATTAATATGAATTAATTTTTAAGAAGGTCAATCACAATATTAAAAACATCTTTTGGCCTTGGACCAAGCATTTTATTTCAATATATGTATGGTATAAATACCCATGACATAAAAAATAAAATACATACCTACCAGCCTTCTGAAGCTTTCCATAGCTTTCAAATTTTAATATCTGCCACAAGCCGCAGTGCGGCACAATTAAAATGCAAAATAGTAGGTTTTATACGTTCTTTAATCTTCCCCTGTTTCATCATTAAGTATTTTGATGTATTTCCAATTTCTCTTTAACTATCGTTTCTAACTTTCTTTCCAAATATCGTCACATAAGGTTATTTCGTTCGTTCCACTGGTATAGGAATGAACTACACCAACGCACACTATACCTTTCGTTTGGCCCGGTGTAAAATCCTCTACACCTTGCTGTCGGCGATGTGGTGTCCACTGGTGGATATTTTTTCCACCGCCTATTTAGCAGGAGTGAATTATACTCGACATGTGTATCAGGAATAAGGGGGAAGTAAACTAAGTAAATACAGTTGGTAAAACTGGTGTAATTTACACTGGTGGACACTGCACCAAGAGCGAAGCTGTCAAAGTCACTACACTATTCCCATTCCGATCGCTTACGTTTAGTGCATTCTGAGTGTATTCTCACTTTCTTGTTTTCCATATCGATAAACAAGGACACAAATATTCGGTGCATAGTGTTACTTCCAGTAAAACTCACCTTTTTCGTCCTTGATTTTTGTCTCTGCCTAGGTATTTTGAATTATTTACATATTTACTGTGATGATTTACTGTAACTTTCTATTTATAAATCACCAAATTTCCTTTTTTGGAACTGTGTCATATATATTTTCCATATCAATAAATATATTTTTTTATTTTATATTTAATATCTCATTCCATTTCAATCAAGTAAAAATGTAATTTTAACTCTATTTTATAGATACTTTTACCAAATCTCAAATTAAGAATGACTATGCTAGATTATCAGTGCTATAGTACCTACTAACAAAAATGTTTTAACAATTTCAGACAAAAGTATGAAAAAA